CAAAATCTATTCCAATTACAAATTTGTTACAAGAGTAAAGCTCAGATTATAAAAAGAAACTAACTGTTATTTATCTATTTTATTTGCAACCTAAACCTATTAAAATGGTTAAAATTTATCTAGATTTGATAGTATAAAATGTTGTTTGTAAGGTAGTTATAAAGCATCTAATAGTTAAGCTATAAATTAATTTTACTAGAGCATGACCAAGTGGTGGGAAAGTATTTGGATCAATGTGTTTTAAGCTTGATAGTCCATATAGATTGCAAGTTGTACTATGTAATTGATGTCTGTTAACATAGTATATATTATTATAGTTAGTTCATATAGATCTTCTTTGTTGATTTTTGATATACTGTAGAATGTTGTTATCCTTTTTCTATTGTACCAATTTTATATAATATGGTTTCTATATTTGTTCATAAACTTTTTAAGACAGCTTATATAGGAGTTTTGTAGTAATATTTTTTGCTTCTATTTTAATTGAGTAAATAGTCTAATTGATAAAATAAGACTAGTAGGTACATATCCTTGTAATGTTGTATAAATATTAATTTGTTGTAAAATTATGTTACTAAAAGAAAGGCTATTATGTTGTGAAAGTATTTCTTGTAATTCATTAATTTGAATGCTAGTAATATTAGTAATATAAGTAATTATTTCTGTTATTATTTCTTAAATAAGATTGGTAAGGAGTATAGAGTTTGGACAAAGAATCCAATATAATGAGTATTCTGGTATATGACATATAATACAGCTATTGCTAGTTATTGTTTCTGAATATAAGTTGTAAAGATAAAAAAGAGTACATAGTATGTTAAGTTGTAGTTTAATTTTAAAGAATTTATTATTGCTAAGTGTAAAGTTTGTATATGTGCTAGTTCTATTAATGTGTTATTTAGATATAGCCAGGTTGCTTTCTAGTTAATTTATGAGAATAGAAAAATAATGTTGTTTATTTGATTTTAAGATGACCACATAGTTATTATATGTGTATTGCAGATATTTTTGATTACTCATCAAGTAGGTTGTTCAATAGTATATTGGTTGTATTATATAATATATAAAATATATTCAGAAAATTTATTAAATTGTAGTTTGATATGAACTTATCTGCTTTATTATTAAATATGTTGTCTTTATAAGCTAATAATTTGTAAAATATAATATTGTATTTATATGATCTAATTAAATTAATAATTGTATATCATATTGGCCAATACTTATAAAAATAGGAAATTATTTTTTATATCCCTCGGATTTATTATTCATACCCCCTATAACATAAATTTCTGATGTTATGTGTTCATGTAAAACGATCATCAGCTACCTGAAATTCGATAGGTCAATAATGTTACATGACACGTAAGCATCAAATCAGATTAGATATTCAATGATTGTCTATTTACAAGTATTTTATTCAACATATTTGCAAGTATTTTATTCAACGACTCTATTAGATTCAATGATTCAACAGATTAGTTGTAGTAGTTCTTCATTGTATTAATAACTCACTTATAACTAAAAACTTTCTTATAAAATTTATGCAAGTACTGTGAACTTAAATAAATCAACCGTTTTACTTATTTTTTTTTTAAAACCCTATAAAAGAGATGCTGAGAGGCATAATTCAACCGTTTTATTGATCTATGGTAAAAGTATTTTATGTTTTGTTTGTGTTTATATTCATGTACTCAAGAAAATTAATAAAGATCAAGTGTTATAAACTTAAAGTTTCATTTTACGAATCCAATTTATAATGAAAATGATTTTTATTTCTGAAATTTTGCGTTTACATCAAACTAAGAAACTAACAATTTTTTCTTATACTGAGTTATTTATATTTATGCAAGTGTGAGCATTGTGTCCAGGTTGTCGACAAATGGTACAATGCCTTACTTTATTATCTACCAATTCAAAACTGAAAGGGTCTCTTCTAGTAGAATTAGCTTGTCGTTTATTAAGAGCTCCAGAAGGATGTCCTTTGGTACGAACTATCTTTGGATTTTGTAAGGTCATTACTGGTTTATCTATTATGTTTTTTAATGCATCTCGTGTTGTTAATTGCTGGAACTCTGGCCACTCTTGATACTTTTGTTGTAGATCTTGCAAAAGCAGTTGTAGTGGATCTTCCTGATAAGAACTATTTTCATTAATTTGTGGCGCCAGTAAGCTTCCTGGGATCCACCAATGCTTATGGATTTCATTAAGAATTAGGCTTTGATCACCTAAATGTTGAATAAAATGGGCACATGGCAGCCCCAATGTTTTTGAAAAGGTTCCAGTACATGGTAGTAAGGGCTCTTGGGCGGTAGCATGTTTTGCTTTCTGATACTGCTTATTTATCTTCTTGAGTGTGAAGGATGATACTTTAGCCTTAATATTTGCATAAAAAGAATTGTTAGTAGCAAAAACTGGGACACGAATGTGTTCTGACATAATCATGGCATCGAACTCTTTTCTTTGGTTGGTTACTGCCAATGATATTTTTGTATGAACATGATGAAGGTCTTCTGTAGACATCTGCAAATATGATTTTAGGGTTGCATGTGAACCTTCAATGCGTGAAGTTGTAGTTGTTCCTAGGTGTAGTGTTACAAGTCGAAAGTTGGAAAAATCGATTAGTTGTAACTAGTCGATTATAGAATTAATTGCTAATCGATTGAAAAAAATTTAATGATTAGATTTGTAACACTACCTAGATGAAGTAATGCATTTGCCAAGCTTTCACGAATCTTTCTTTCCATGGTATCCAGGTTCCCTGGATATAAGATATTATGCTAGATTTATTAATATAAGTAGTACAGAAATTACTCCATTTTTCATCAAATTCGTCTTCTGTATTCGATCGAATAATATCATTCCACCTTGCAAGAAAATCTTGCCATTCATCCTCTGTTTCTTTTGAAAAATGTGGTTTACAATTTTTCAAGATATTCTTAGTAATGTGCCACACACAAAGTATATTTATTGAATTAGGAAAGAACGTACTGAGTGCTTTCATAAGAGCCAGTTCTCTATCAGTTACAATGACTGCAGGTTTCTCTATCTCATCAAACAACCTTAAAACATGTGTTAGAGCCCAATTGTAAGCTGCTTCCTTTTCACTTTTCATAAATACAAAGCAAATATAAAAGGTGGTATTGAAACTGCATCACAAACTATAACCAAGTATTTATTAAATGCTTATTAATTATTTAAAAAATATCCATTTTAAATACTTATTAAACAGATTCCAACGTACCTTATATTCAACAAGTATTAATATTTTATAATATATAATTATTTAGTATAAATACTAAATTAACATTAAACTAA